ATATATATATATATATATATATATATATATATATATATAAAAGATAATTTCATTTAGCCGCTGATACATAATACGTATCGGCCACTAATTCTTCGTAGCAACTATATAATTCACTTGCTTTAAGGTTAATTTCATTATATATATATATAGTTATACTGAACGTCTATATATATATATATATATATATCGAACCTACGATAATTACATCGTTGCGATTCACAGTTATTTAATAGCCGTCGTTTATGTTAATTTCATTCATTCAGTTCATACGTATCGACCAATGGCAACCATTCATTCGGCTAATTTTATCGAATGCATTAAGCAGTCTAGTAACAAACACACAACAAATGATGAATGATTCACAGCACGAAACATGAGAAAATTAAAACACGGCATGTAACAGAATTCTCAAAACACGGCATAACAGGATTGTCAAAAACGCGACATGTACAGAATTGTCAAAACATGAGATGTACCAGAATTGTCCAAAACATGCAATGTACCAGAATTGTCAAAAAAAGACATAAATGTACTAGTAGTTTAATACAACTTCTGCGTCAGGTGATGCACACCTAAATTCTGAATGCTCAATTACTGATTTGAGAATTTCATAAACTTCATACGTCAATGCCTCGATTATGATTCTCGTAAGAGCCGGAGACTTTGCCATAAGAAGCTTCAACAGTTGCATGTGAGGATTTGTCCCTCGAATGCTCCTAATCACAATTATACTGAGGTTGTTGAATGTTGTTTCTTCAAAACTTCCTTCCAAATCAATATTATCCAGTGCTATAGGCACACCACTATTATCCACCTAAGAAATAATAGAAAAAAACACCAAATTTAAATGACTATCGGAGGTATAAAGAAGCAACTACGTAATGAGAACTTAAGAAGATAACCGAATGATTAAGTAAGAACTTTGATTTCCATATATTCTAAATATGGGAAGCTTCTCATCAAACACAAAGCACAGGCGACAGAATACAATTCACTCAGATAAAGACCAGAGAGGTAAATATTTTTCACACAGTCAACACGAAAGGAAAGATTAGTTGGTACTTCTCCTGCACCTACAGCCAATAACTAGAAAGAACATCCCAAATTAAAAGGATGGCTCATAGACCACAATATATTCCATCTATGAAAAAGCACTAGACTGAAGTTATGAAGCACATTTACCTTGAGACTATGGTTATCCAAATGGAGATGTTCCACTGCACAAAAAAACAACAATGCAATTAGGCCAACTGAGAACTCCAAGTTTCAGCAATATTCTTTATTATATTTCCATGTCTGGTTCGACATTGAGATCAAACAAGCTTGATTGCGATTGTGTAGCGTCAATTTGCTGCAATTAAAATCAAACAAACACTATAAGAAAATATGATATGTTTAAGTAATAAATCAAATGTAGTCGCAAAATTATACCTCATCACACCTAGGGAACCATCATAATCAACGTTTGTACCTCTGTCTTGCCCATTACCCCTACCCCTACGTCCACCACTTCTACCGCCACCTCTACCACCACGATTGACACCAACCCTGCCACCACCCCTGCTACCCCCTCTAACACCAGTTCTTGCGCCATTACTAGCTCCAAATACACCACGCGGTTGTGAACTTGTAAAGTAGTAGTCAATTCTTCCTCTATATCGATTCAAACGCGGCCAGCCACGTGAATTAGTGTACTGGGGATCTCGTAAAGTTGTGCCATCAACATTGTCATCTGAGTCATCCCGGTCTTGGTTTGGCACGATCATTTCGTCATCCCAGTTTTGAAGATCATGCACCATTTTCTTCAAATTATGCTTAACATATTGAACCTTCCCGCTAGTGCCCAGTGCTATATCACAAGCCATGTCAAAATACTTCAACATGCTCCTGTATGTCTTATACTCAGGCGTCATGGTTGGGTAACCAACTTGATGGAACTGATTCAAGTGTGGCCTAATAAAATCGCTTCTCCACCTTGTCAGTATATACCTTTCATCAATTTTATTAATCTTCGTGTGCGACAAGATCTTGAGTATATGGCAACAAAGTATCCCTCTAGACTCGAACCATTTGCAACTGCAACTAAAATAATCGCCGATAGGTATATATTCAACAGTGTACTCAACTGGATTTCTATTATTTTTTGTTATTACTGAATAATCACTAACGATGAATTTCTTAACACCGGGGACAACTTGATGATCGTCGGGGCTGCTGACTTCACAATGATACAATTTCCTTAGCTGTGTCTTGAAAAGTTCATACACTGTACGCGTATAACACTGAATTGCCTACTGCTCCCACTTGAACATTGACTCGCACACAATTTAAAAGCCCTTTGACCTGTATTTCGCTTCCAACTCTTTCTCATGCTTAGCTCTTATAGCTAACTCATACTGGTGAACAAACATCTTTAGAGTGCTTTGACGGGTAATATATCCATCAAAGAACGCATGCATCCCCTCACTTCTTTGCGTAGACAACAAACCACCCCAAAAATACACATCAAGGTACACAGGAACCCATTTTTCCTTAGTAAAGCTTGATGAACCAATCCCTTGTATGCAAATTATACCTTGCAATATATTCTGTCCATTTTCTCTCAAAAACTTCAACAGTAATGTTATCAAGGACTATGGATTTAAATTCTGCACGTACAATTTTAGAAGGACGAACAACACTTAAGTAAACAGGCAACTTTGAGAATATATGCCAAATACAATACCTATGTATTGTATTTGGCATCACTTCAGCAATGGCTACCTTAATGCTCCAACACTGATCAGTTATGATCGCATCTGGATGAACATTTCCCATGGAATCAAGCCAAGTTCTAAAAACTAATTTGTAACTATCGATATCTTCATGAGACATGAGAGCACATCCTAGTAAGATTGACTGTCTATGGTGATTGATGCCAACAAATGAAGCACATGGCATATTATATCGATTCACAAGGTACGTTGTATCAAAGCATATCGCATCATGGAATTGTTCATACGCTGCCTTACAGTCTGAATGCACCCATACCACATTTCGCAGCCTACCAATATTATCAACGTCGATTGAATAGAAAAACTCTCTATCCTTTACCTGGATTTCACGAAAAAAGTTGAGCAGCGACTGTGCGTCCCCTTCTTGCATTTCAAAATTCCCACTCTTCAAAATATAATTTCTACAATCCTTTGGAGTGCAACCCAAATTTTGCGGTCCACCATGTTGGACCTCAGCAAGCCTAATATTCTTGGAGGGTCTAATGCCAGATCGATCGTGAGCTACAAGATCCCTCTTCAAAGAATCACAAACAAACCTATGTCCAGCCATCAGGCGCGATACAGATGGGAGCAATTCATGATTGTGATCGTGAACGACCTTAGAGACGTGCCAACAGCGAGAATCATCCAAAACAGCAGCTAGCCTAGCTTTACAATTGTTACTCTTGGTGGTAAACTTGATTTTGCGAATCCTAGTCCTATCACAACAGTAGGTTATATACCTGGCAGTGTCACCACCCTTCTTGTTGGAATTTCTTTTGATGGCGGAGAATCCTCTCAGTCGTGCATGTTCTTTGTAGAATGCAAACAAAGTATCTTTATCTCTAAATCGCATTCCAGAGATTGGACCTACAACCAATCCTCTTCAGTGAATTCATTCTCCATTTCCCGATCAACATCACATAACTCTAACTCATTTCCTAAAACCTGCTCCTCATCATCGTTAGCTTCTTCGTGATATTCTCCATCGGCTTCTTCATCATCATCATCTAAGTGCACAGCAGCATCGGCTTCTTCATCATCATCATCATCTAAGTGCACAACATTGTTGAAACTGCCATGAGAATCAACATCGACCCATTCGTATTCATTCAACAAACTATCGTCTGATGTCATCCCTAAGGATCTGTACAAATCGTCCCTAACTCGATCAAACCTATTATCTTGGTTGATATTCATGGTTGTTGTATTTGTGTTATGTTCATTTGGATTCATATTTTGTTGCACCGCCAAATTTTTTTGGTTTGGATCCATTTTTAGAGAAGGAGAAAGTGTCCGCTGGTTTAGGGATAGGCAAGGAGGAAAGTGCCTGCTGGTTTAGGGTTTGGTAAGGAGGAAGTATACAAAATCGTATACCGTATTTGTTTTTAAGAAAATACAATAATTTGTTAAAAATTAAAAAAAATATATAATTTATATAAAATACACATAAATACAAGGGAAATACACGAGACTCTTCATCTCCCAACATTTAATTTTTGCATACTTCAAGACTTGGAATTTAATTTTGGATTTTGGAGGGAAAAATGTAGGCTAACTAGTTAGAAGGTCATTTATGTATTTTCACTGGTGTGGCCAAAGCTGGGTGTCACGACCTGGATTTCCCACCCTCGGGAGTCGTGATGGCGTCTACTAATGAAAGCTAGGCAAGCCAATCCTTAACTACTTACTTTATTATCCAATTTCTTCTTTCTAACAGATATAAGGCGATAACATGAAAACAACGAAACTTTAAATAATTAAGCGGAAGATGACAATTAATATCTGAAATCTGCATCTACTACAACCCTTAAAACCTTAAGCACCCAAAACCTGGTATCACAGTGTCACAGACGGTCTAAGATTTTCTACATACGAAGTCTGAAGAAATAATAATACACTGTTTCTGAATATAAGGAAAATGAAACAGGAAGTAGGGATAGAGGGAGACTGTGACGACCCGACCCGTCGTATCAGGTATTACTGCCCCGTTTTCCTCATTTATTACTTCTTCATGTTTCATTACCGGTATGTGGTGAGTTAGAGTTGATTCGGATTGGTTTTGATAAGAAATGAGACACTTAGTCTCTTTTAAGAAGGCTTAAGTTAGAAAAGTCAACCGGATGTTGACTTATGAGTTAGAGGGCTCGGATGTGATTTCTGGTGGTTCGGTTAGCTCCGAGAAGTGATTTGTGACTTAGGAGTGTGATCGGAAGTGATTTTGGAGGTCCGGTGTACATTTAGGCTTGAATTGGCGAAGTTAGTATTTTGGCGATTTCCGGTTGATAGGTGATATTTTGATCCGGAAGTCGGAATGGAATTCCGAGAGTTGCTGTAGCTTCATTAGGTGAATTGGGATGTGTGTGCAAAATGTCACGTCATTCGGACGTGGTTTGGTTGGGTTTTTGATCGAATGCGTGTTTTGAAATATTTAGAAGAACTTGGGCTTGAATTCGTTGTAAATTGATGATTTTGGTGTTGTTTGAAGTGTTTTGATAATTGGAACAAGTTTGAATGATGTTTTAGGATGTGTTGGTGTTTTTGGTTGAGGTCCCGGGGGCCTCGGGTGAGTTTCGGGGTGGTTTCGGATCATTTTGGAGAAGTTTGATATTGCTGGTTCTGGTGTAACACTGTAGCTTGGGAATTGCGAAGGATTTGCCGGGAATTTCGAAAACACTGTAGCTTGGGAATTGCGAAGAATTTGCTGGGAATTGCGGAAACACTGTAGCTTGGGAATTGCGAAGGATTTGCTGGGAATTGCGAAAACACTGTAGCTGGGGCAGAATGTTTAAAAATAAACATTTCATCCGCGAGTTGGGTTATTTTCCACCATTGTTAAGCGACCTTGGGAGTATTTGGCGAGCAATTAAGAGGGTTTTGACTGGGAATCGATTGGAGGTAAGTCCTATGGCCTAGAAACGTCATTTTTATTGTGATTTCAACACTTAAATTCATGGAAATTGGGTTAAAAAGGGAAGAACTAGGGCTTGGGTTTTTGAATGAAATTTTGGGATTTGAGGGAGCAAATAAGCTCCGATTCTTGTGATTTTTACATGTATAGACTCGTGGCGAGATAAGGAACATTTTGGTGTAAAAATTTCTGACTTTCGAGAAGTGGGCCCGGGGCTCGGGTTTTGCAAATTTCGGGATTTGTGCCCGTTCTTGATTGTTTTCGCTTGGGCTTTGTTCCCTTAGCATATTGTGATGTATTCGCTCTGTTTTTGGGTAGATTCGACGCGCGTGGAGGCCGATTCGAGGGGCAAAGGCGTCGCGGGCTAGAGATTTCGCCGGTTCGAGGTGAGTAATACTTGTAAATAATGTCCTGAGGGTTTGAAACCCCGGATTTGCACATCATAGTGCTGTATTGTGGTGACTTGCACGCCAGGTATGAGCGTGGGGTAGATCACCATTGGGGATGGTGATTTGGTCCGTCCCGGTTGTTGATTTTACTGCGTAATTGACTAAAACCTGCTTGATGCTATCGTGATTTGGGCTGATTGCCATGTTTTGGGCTTCGTGCCGATTATTTGAATCCATTAGGGATTATTATCACTGTTTTCATGACACTTAGCATATTAAATGATTTCAGTCCTGAGTTAAACCCTGTTTTGAAATGTGCAGTCATATTGTTAAAGTTTAAAGACTTAAATTGCATTTTTCTGATGTTTTGAGTTAAAAGTTATTACTTGACATTGCCCGAGTGGCTCATTTGCATGTTTTGGACTGAGGATGGATCGGGTTGCACGCCGCAGCGATACTATGATGATATTGCGCTTGGGCTGTAGGAGCCCCTCCGGAGTCTGAACCCCCACAGTGAGCGCGTGTACCCAAATGGATCGGGCTGCGCGCCGCAGCGGTCATATGCATTGCATTGCATTCATGCATTGGTTCCTGTTTGTACTACGTGTCATGACATTCAGCACTCTCATATCACTGGCATCCATGCTACTTCTTGTACTGATTACCAGACGCCCTGGTGTTAATTGTTTGTGGAGTGATGTGCCCGAGGGGCTGACTTATGTGCGGACTTGCACTATCTGATTACGCATTCATTTGCTTGACTGTTGGAAAAAGATGTTTTCAAAAGAGGTTTTAAACTGAGCCAGATATTTTCTAAAGGATTTTCACGGTTTTACTATTTTCTCAAAGAGTTGTACTGTCCTATATAGCATGATGGAGTGCTCTTACGTGATTTCTTGCCTCTCAGTTATTATTTACTCTTGTTACTCACTAAGTTGGAAGTACTCACTTTACTCCCTGCACCTCGCGTGCAGTTGCAGGTATTGTTCACCCGGTAGCGGGTTATAGCTGATTGAAGGTGGGGCTATTGTAGCTGAGCAAGGTGACCGTCAGCGTTCGCGGCACCGGATGTTGTCTTTTGATTTTCCGGAATTTTTCTTTATATATTATTATTGGCCCTGTAGTTGTGTTCAGGTTTCTTTAGATGCTCGTGACTTGTGACACCCCGGTCGGGTTGTGTTGGGTTGTACATACTGGTTATTATTGTCGTTAAGCTATATTCACCTATTCGTTTATGTTTAATAAATGTTAAAGAGACGATTTGGGTTAGTTGGCTGGCCTTGTCTTCACGAGAGGCGCCATCACGACCGGGTTTGGAAATTGGGTCGTGACAAGTTGGTATCAGAGCCTAGGTTACTAGGTCTCACGAGTCATGATCAGGTTTAGTAGAGTCTCGCGGATCGGTACGGAGACGTCTGTATTTATCCTCGAGAGGCTGCAGAACCTTTAGGAAAACTTCCCATTCTTGGAATTCTTATCGTGCGTACTTGATTCAGCTTGAGATATAACTCTTGAAATT